TTAAGCCTTCTACTTCACTTGGTTATAACCTTTCCGATCCACATCATTTGGGAGATTTTAGAGTTCCAGCTCCGCCTTGTACCTACACACAAGCGTGCATACTGACCTTACCGGCTTGACGCATTTTCTCTCCGTACAAATACAGTGAATACCGTATGTATTCCCATTTCCTTTAAATAATACCATTCCCCACCCCCCTACCATGTTTTAACCTATCGGATCTATATAATTTGGCAGATATAGACATTGCAGTCATACATGGTACCTGCACTACAGGCGCGCATACCGACCAAACTGACCAGCGCATTACTTATGTTTCTAGAAATGCAGTTAGTACCATATTCATGTCAGTTCACTAGAATAGGCTTTCTACTTCAACAACACTTGGTTATAACCTTTTCGATCCACATCATTTGGGAGATTTCAGAGTTCCAGCTCCGCCTTGTACCTACACATAAGCGTGCATACTGACCTTATCAGCCGACGTATTATTCTCTCTGTACAAATACAGTGAATATTATATGTATTCCCATTTCTTTTAAATTATACCGTTCCCCACCCCCCGACCATGTTTTAACCTATCGGATCTATGTAATTTGACAGATATAGACATTCCAGTCGTACATGGTACCTGCACTACAGGCGCGCAAAGCGACCAAACTGACCAGCGCATTACTCATGTTTGTAGAGATGCAGTTACTATCATATTCTTGCCAGTCCACTAGATTAGGCCTTCTACTTCAACAACACTAGGTTAAAACCTTTCAAATCCACATAATTTGGGAGATTTCAGAGTTCCAGTTCCGCCTTGTACCTACACGCTAGCGTGCATACTGACCTTACCAGCCGACACATTATTCTCTCCGTACAAATACAGTGAATATTATATGTTTTCCCATTTCCTTTAAATGATACCATTCCCCACCCCCCTACCATGTTTTATCCTATCGGATTTATGTAATTTGGCAGATAAAGACATTTTAGTCGTACATGGTATCTGCACTACAGGCTCGCATACCGACCAAACTGACCAGCGCATTACGTATGTTTGTAGAGATGCAGTTAGTGCCATATTCTTGCTAGTCCACTAGATTAGGCCTTCTACTTCAACAACACTAGGTTATAACCTTTCCAATCCACATAATTTGGGAGATTCCAGAGTTCCAGTTCCGCCTTGTACCTACACGTAAGCGTGCATCCTGACCTTATCAGCCGACACATTATTCTCTCCGTACAAATACAGTGAATACCATATGTTTTCCCATTTCCTTTAAATGATACCATTCCCCACCCTCCTACCATGGTTTAACCTATCGGATCTATGTAAATTGGCAGATAATGACATTTTTGTCGTACATGGTACCTGCACTACAGGCGCGCATACCGACCAAACGGACCAGCGCATTACGTATGTTTGTAGAGATGCAGTTATGGCCATATTCTTGCCAGTCCACTAGATTAGGCCTTCTACTTCAACAACACTAGGTTATAACCTTTCCGATCCACATACTTTGGGAGATTTCGGAGTTCCAGCTCCGCCTTGTACCTATACACAAGCGTGCATACTGACCTTACCGGCCGACGCATTATTCTTTCTGTACAAATACAGGAAATACCATATGTATTCCCATTTACTTCAAATTATACAATTCCCCACCCCCCTACCATGTTTTAACCTATCGAATCTATGTAATTTGGCAGATATAGACATTCCAGTCGTTCATGGTACCTGCACTACAGGCGCGCATACCGATTAAACTGACCAGCGCATTACTTATGTTTCTAGAAATGCAGTTAGTATCATATTCATGTCAGTTCACTAGATTAGGCGTTCTATTTCAACAACACTTGGTTATAACCTTTCCGATCCACATAATTTGGGAGATTTCAGAGTTCTAGCTCCGCCTTGTACCTACACATAAGCTTGCATACTGACCTGACCAGCCGACGCATTATTCTCTCTGTACAGATATAGTGAATACCATATGTATTCCCATTTCCTTTAAATTATACCATTCCCCACCCCCCTACCATGTTTTAACCTATCGGATCTATGTAATTTGACAAATATTGACATTCCAGTCGTACATGGTACCTGCACTGCTGGCGCGCATACCGACCAAACTGACGAGCGCATTACTTATGTTTCTAGAAATGCAGTTAGTACCATATTCTTGTCAGTTCACTAGATTAGGACTTCTACTTCAACAACACTTGGTTATAACCTTTTCGATCCACATAATTTGGGAGATTTCAGAGTTCCAGCTCCACCTTGTACCTACACACAAGCGTGCATACTGACCTTACCTGCCGACGTATTATTCTCTCTGTACAAATATAGTGAATACCATAAGTATTCCCATTTCCTTTAGATAATACCATTCCCCACCCCCCTACCATGTTTTAACCTATCGGATCTATGTAATTTGGCAGATATAGACATTCCAGTCGTACATGGTACCTGCACTACCGGCGCGCATACCGACCAAACTGAACAGCGCATTACTTGCATGTCCACTAGATTAGGCCTTCTACTTCAAAAACACTAGATATGCAGTTAGTACCATATTCTTGCATGTCCACTAGTTTAGGCCTTCTACTTCAAAAAAACTAGGATAAAACCTTTTCCGATCCACATAGTTTGGGAGATTTCAGAGTTCCAGTTCCGCCTTATACCTACAGACAAGAGTGCATCCTGACCTTACCGGCCGACGCATTTTTATCTCCGTACAAATATAGTAAGTACCGTATGTATTCCCATTTCCTTTAAATGATACCCTTTCTTACCCCCCTACCATGTTTTAACTCGGATCTATGTAATTCGGCAGATAAAGACATTTCAGTCGTACATGGTACCTGCACTACAGGCGCGCATACCGACCAAACTGTCCAGCGCATTACGTATGTTTGTAGAGATTTAGTTAGTGCCATATTCTTGCCTGTCCACTAGATTAAGCCTTCTACTTCAACAACACTCGGTTATAACATTTTTGATCCACATAATTTGGGAGATTTCAGAGTTTCAGCTCCGCCTTGTACCTACACGCAAGCGTGCATACTGACCTTACCGGCCGACACATTATTCTTTCTGTACAAATACAGCAAATACCATCTGTATTCCCACTTACTTTAAATGATACCATTCCCCACCCCCCTACCATATTTTAACCTATCGGATCTATGCAATTTGGAAGATATAGACATTCCAGTCGTACATGGTACCTGCACTACAGACGTGCATACCGACCAAACTGACCAGCGCATTACGTATGTTTGTAGAGATGCAGTTAGTGTCATATTCTTGCCAGTCCACTAGATTAGGCCTTCTACTTCAAGAACACTAGGTTATTACCTTTACGATCCACATAGTTTGGGAGATTTCAGAGTTCGAGCTCCGCCTTGTACCTACACACAAGCGTTCATACTGACCTTACCGGCCGACGCATTATTCTCTCTGTACAAATACAGTGAATACCATATGTATTCCCATTTCCTTTAAATTTTACCATTCCCTACCCCCTACCATGTTTTAACCTATCAGATCCATGTAATTTGGCAGATATTGGCATTCCAGTCGTAGATGGTACCTGCACTACAGGCGCGCATACCGACCAAACTGACCAGCGCATTACTTATGTTTTAAGAAATGCAGTTAATATCATATTCTTGTCTGTTCACTAGATTAAGCCTTCTACTTCAACAACACTTGGTTATAACCTTTCCGATCCCATAATTTGGGTGTAACCTTTCCCTTTCTCTTCCCTCATTGCATCCAGTTGAGTGCTCTGCCACACTGCCCATTTGTATCATTCCGATCCGACCCAGCATAATCTGGCCTCCAGGACGAGGTTGGTATTTCTGACTGGGCAGAGGGAGCTGGAAGACTTGTGCAGGAAGCTTGGAAGAAGTTTCAAATAAACGCGGGTGGGCAGAGGAGGGGGGGAGGTTGGGATAGAAATGGGGAACCGGATAGAGGAATGGGGAACCGGAAGGAGGAATGGTGGACCGGATTGAGGAATGGGGAACCGGATAGAGGAATGGGGAACCGGATAGAGGAATGGGGGACCGGATTGAGGAATGGGGGACCGGATTGAGGAATGGGGGACCGGATTGAGGAATGGGGGACCGGATTGAGGAATGGGGGACCGGATTGAGGAATGGGGGACCGGATTGAGGAATGGGGGACCGGATTGAGGAATGGGGGACCAAGGGAGCATGGGGTGGGACAGCAGGGGTGGGAGCATGGGGGGCAGGGACAGGGATAGTGACAGGGATACACTCTATTTCACGCGGAAATTAAAATGAAGGCCTTGATAAATCAGGCAGTCCTTCAATTTCTACTGCATGCATTAAATTTCCAAATCCTAAGAGGTACAGTAAGGGAGGCACTATTGCCTACTGGTTGTAAAGTGAGATCCATTCATTCATGTGACAGCTGCTGAGTCCTCCCTGACACTTTGAAGCCATGCCTTGAACAATAGTGGGGGCGATTCAGGTGGCACAAGGGTGAATCCTCTGCCTGTCCCGTGGCACAGTTGCAGTGGAGGCCCGTAGTGAGAGCCATTGGAGCTGAAACACTGCGACGGAGGCAAGCAGAGACGGGAAGTGCAGAGGGAGAAAGGCAGGCACGGTGCGTGAAGAACAGCGGAAGGACCCCTTTCAAAGGAGTAAAGGACAGGCCAGTGGAAACAAGGCACGTGTACAAAGAATCGCAGATGCAAACGACGGAATGGAGAGGACAGCGGGCGGTGGAGACAAGTGCAGAGAAAAGGAAGAGCATAAGAACTGGGCAGCATGGTATGTGTCTGCAGCCATCACATGGTGCGTGCCTAAAGCATGCCCTGCCCACCTGCGAGTGCCCCGCCCTGCCCACCTGCGAGTGCCCTGCCCACCTGCGAGTGCCCTGCCCTGTCCACCCCACCTGAGCGTGCCCGTGGTGCGTCTTGAGGCACGGCTCCGGCCCACCGAGCTGGCACTCGGGGCGGCCATTGGAGCGCCAGTCATGGCCGGTGGAGGTGTCGAGCATGACGTTCATCATGTAAGGCGTGGCGCCCGCCAGTCCCGCCGCCACCATGCCTAGTGTTGACCCCTCCGTCACCAGGAACGAGTCGCTGGCAGGCAAGTGAGCACAAGCAAGCGGGCACAACGTGCAGAGGGGTGGAGGGACACGCACAGGCAGGTGAGCATGTTGTGAGGCGCCTCAAAACAACACGCCCGCCAGTCCCGCCGCCACCATGCCCAGTGTTGATCCCTCCGTCACCAGAAAGGAGTCGCTGCCAGAGAGAAACGCACAGGCAGGTGGGCACACACAGGCAGGTGGGCACACATAGGCAGGTGGGCACGCACAGGCAGGTGGGCACGCACAGGCAGGTGGGCACGCATAGGCAGGTGGGCACGCACAGGCAGGTGGGCACGCACAGGCAGGTGGGCACGCACAGGCAGGTGGGCACGCACAGGCAGGTGGGCACGCACAGGCAGGTGGGCACGCACAGGCAGGTGGGCACGAACAGGCAGGTGGGCACGCACAGGCAGGTGGGCACGCACAGGCAGGTGGGCACGCACAGGCAGGTGGGCACGCACAGGGTGCATAGCTGCCCAAATCTGTGACATGACCAGCCTTACAATTGCGTTGGATTGCACTGCAATGTGCGCACTGCTCTGGATAGGGGGCGCGGGTCTCACCAGAGTGCGAGGAGCCAGACGTCAATGACCGAGGTGCCAAAGTGAGGCCAGTCAAACATTTGGGGGGGAGGCATGAGAGGGGGAAGGCATGAGAGGGGGAAGGCATGAGAGGGGGAAGGCATGAGAGGGGGGAGGCATGAGAGGGGGAAGGCATGAGAGGGGGAAGGCATGAGAGGGGGAAGGCATGAGAGGGGGAAGGCATGAGAGGGGGAAGGCATGAGAGGGGGAAGGCATGAGAGGGGGAAGGCATGAGAGGGGGAAGGCATGAGAGGGGGAAGGCATGAGAGGGGGAAGGCATGAGAGGGGGAAGGCATGAGAGGGGGAAGGCATGAGAGGGGGAAGGCATGAGAGGGGGAAGGCATGAGAGGGGGGAGGCATGAGAGGGGGGAGGCATGAGAGGGGGGAGGCATGAGAGGGGGGAGGCATGAGAGGGGGGAGGCATGAGAGGGGGGAGGCATGAGAGGGGGAGGCATGAGAGGGGGAAGGCATGAGAGGGGGAAGGCATGAGAGGGGGAAGGCATGAGAGGGGGAAGGCATGAGAGGGGGAAGGCATGAGAGGGGGAAGGCATGAGAGGGGGAAGGCATGAGAGGGGGAAGGCATGAGAGGGGGAAGGCATGAGAGGGGGAAGGCATGAGAGGGGGAAGGCATGAGAGGGGGAAGGCATGAGAGGGGGAAGGCATGAGAGGGGGAAGGCATGAGAGGGGGAAGGCATGAGAGGGGGAAGACATGAGAGGGGGAAGGCATGAGAGGGGGAAGGCATGAGAGGGGGAAGGCATGAGAGAGGGAAGGCATGAGAGGGGGAAGGCATGAGAGGGGGGAGGCATGAGAGGGGGAAGGCATGAGAGAGGGAAGGCATGAGAGGGGGAAGGCATGAGAGGGGGAAGGCATGAGAGGGGGAAGGCATGCGAGGGGGAAGGCATGCGAGGGGGAAGGCATGCGAGGGGGAAGGCATGCGAGGGGGAAGGCATGAGAGGGGGAAGGCATGAGAGGGGGAAGGAATGCGAGGGGGAAGGAATGCGAGGGGGAAGGCATGAGAGGGGGAAGGCATGAGAGGGGGAAGGCATGAGAGGGGGAAGGAATGCGAGGGGGAAGGAATGCGAGGGGGAAGGCATGAGAGGGGGAAGGCATGAGAGGGGGAAGGCATGCGAGGAGGAAGGCATGCGAGGGGGAATGCATGAGAGGGGGAAGGCATGAGAGGGGGAAGGCATGAGAGGGGGAAGGCATGAGAGGGGGAAGGCATGAGAGGGGGAAGGCATGAGAGGGGGAAGGCATGAGAGGGGGAAGGCATGAGAGGGGGAAGGCATGAGAGGGGGAAGGCATGAGAGGGGGAAGGCATGAGAGGGGGAAGGCATGAGAGGGGGAAGGCATGAGAGGGGGAAGGCATGAGAGGGGGAAGGCATGAGAGGGGGAAGGCATGAGAGGGGGAAGGCATGAGAGGGGGGAGGCATGAGAGGGGGAAGGCATGAGAGGGGGAAGGCATGAGAGGGGGGAGGCATGAGAGGGGGAAGGCATGAGAGAGGGAAGGCATGAGAGGGGGAAGGCATGAGAGGGGGAAGGCATGAGAGGGGGAAGGCATGAGAGGGGGAAGGCATGCGAGGGGGAAGGCATGCGAGGGGGAAGGCATGCGAGGGGGAAGGCATGCGAGGGGGAAGGCATGAGAGGGGGAAGGCATGAGAGGGGGAAGGAATGCGAGGGGGAAGGAATGCGAGGGGGAAGGCATGAGAGGGGGAAGGCATGAGAGGGGGAAGGCATGCGAGGAGGAAGGCATGCGAGGGGGAATGCATGAGAGGGGGAAGGCATGAGAGGGGGAAGGCATGAGAGGGGGAAGGCATGAGAGGGGGAAGGCATGAGAGGGGGAAGGCATGAGAGGGGGAAGGCATGAGAGGGGGAAGGCATGAGAGGGGGAAGGCATGAGAGGGGGAAGGCATGAGAGGGGGAAGGCATGAGAGGGGGAAGGCATGAGAGGGGGAAGGCATGAGAGGGGGAAGGCATGAGAGGGGGAAGGCATGAGAGGGGGAAGGCATGAGAGGGGGGAGGCATGAGAGGGGGAAGGCATGAGAGAGGGAAGGCATGAGAGGGGGAAGGCATGAGAGGGGGAAGGCATGAGAGGGGGAAGGCATGAGAGGGGGAAGGCATGAGAGGGGGAAGGCATGAGAGGGGGAAGGCATGCGAGGGGGAAGGCATGCGAGGGGGAAGGCATGCGAGTGGGAAGGCATGCGAGGGGGAAGACATGAGAGGGGGAAGGCATGAGAGGGGGAAGGAATGCGAGGGGGAAGGAATGCGAGGGGGAAGGCATGAGAGGGGGAAGGCATGAGAGGGGGAAGGCATGCGAGGAGGAAGGCATGCGAGGGGGAAGGCATGAGAGGGGGAAGGCATGAGAGGGGGAAGGCATGAGAGGGGGAAGGCATGAGAGGGGGAAGGCATGAGAGGGGGAAGGCATGAGAGGGGGAAGGCATGAGAGGGGGAAGGCATGAGAGGGGGAAGGCATGAGAGGGGGAAGGCATGAGAGGGGGAAGGCATGAGAGGGGGAAGGCATGAGAGGGGGAAGGCATGAGAGGGGGAAGGCATGAGAGGGGGGAGGCATGAGAGGGGGAAGGCATGAGAGAGGGAAGGCATGAGAGGGGGAAGGCATGAGAGGGGGAAGGCATGAGAGGGGGAAGGCATGAGAGGGGGAAGGCATGCGAGGGGGAAGGCATGCGAGGGGGAAGGCATGCGAGGGGGAAGGCATGAGAGGGGGAAGGCATGAGAGGGGGAAGGCATGAGAGGGGGGAGGCATGAGAGGGGGAAGGCATGAGAGAGGGAAGGCATGAGAGGGGGAAGGCATGAGAGGGGGAAGGCATGAGAGGGGGAAGGCATGAGAGGGGGAAGGCATGAGAGGGGGAAGGAATGCGAGGGGGAAGGAATGCGAGGGGGAAGGCATGAGAGGGGGAAGGCATGAGAGGGGGAAGGCATGCGAGGAGGAAGGCATGCGAGGGGGAATGCATGAGAGGGGGAAGGCATGAGAGGGGGAAGGCATGAGAGGGGGAAGGCATGAGAGGGGGAAGGCATGAGAGGGGGAAGGCATGAGAGGGGGAAGGCATGAGAGGGGGAAGGCATGAGAGGGGGAAGGCATGAGAGGGGGAAGGCATGAGAGGGGGAAGGCATGAGAGGGGGAAGGCATGAGAGGGGGAAGGCATGAGAGGGGGAAGGCATGAGAGGGGGAAGGCATGAGAGGGGGAAGGCATGAGAGGGGGAAGGCATGAGAGGGGGAAGGCATGAGAGGGGGAAGGCATGAGAGGGGGAAGGCATGAGAGGGGGGAGGCATGAGAGGGGGGAGGCATGAGAGGGGGAAGGCATGAGAGGGGGGAGGCATGAGAGGGGGAAGGCATGAGACGGGGAAGGCATGAGAGGGGGAAGGCATGAGAGGCATGAGAGGAGGGAGGCATGAGAGGGGGGAGGCATGAGAGGGGGGAGGCATGAGAGGGGGAAGGCATGAGAGGGGGAAGGCATGAGAGGGGGAAGGCATGAGAGGGGGGAGGCATGAGAGGGGGAAGGCATGAGAGGGGGAAGGCATGAGAGGGGGAAGGCATGAGAGGGGGAAGGCATGAGAGGGGGAAGGCATGAGAGGGGGAAGGCATAAGAGGGGGGAGGCATGAGAGGGGGAAGGCATGAGAGGGGGAAGGCATGAGAGGGGGAAGGCATGAGAGGGGGAAGGCATGAGAGGGGGAAGGCATGAGAGGGGGAAGGCATGAGAGGGGGAAGGCATGAGAGGGGGAAGGCATGAGAGGGGGAAGGCATGAGAGGGGGAAGGCATGAGAGGGGGAAGGCATGAGAGGGGGAAGGCATGAGAGGGGGAAGGCATGAGAGGGGGAAGGCATGAGAGGGGGAAGGCATGAGAGGGGGAAGGCATGAGATGGGGAAGGCATGAGAGGGGGAAGGCATGAGAGGGGGAAGGCATGAGAGGGGAAGGCATGAGAGGGGGAAGGCATGAGAGGGGGAAGGCATGAGAGGGGGAAGGCATGAGAGGGGGAAGGCATGAGAGGGGGAAGGCATGAGAGGGGGAAGGCATGAGAGGGGGAAGGCATGAGAGGGGGAAGGCATGAGACGGGGAAGGCATGAGAGGAGGAAGGCATGAGAGGGGGAAGGCATGAGAGGGGGAAGGCATGAGAGGGGGAAGGCATGAGAGGGGGAAGGCATGAGAGGGGGGAGGCATGAGAGGGGGGAGGCATGAGAGGGGGGAGGCATGAGAGGGGGAAGGCATGAGAGGGGGAAGGCATGAGAGGGGGAAGGCATGAGAGGGGGAAGGCATGAGAGGGGGAAGGCATGAGAGGGGGAAGGCATGAGAGGGGGAAGGCATGAGAGGGGGAAGGCATGAGAGGGGGAAGGCATGAGAGGGGGAAGGCATGAGAGGGGGAAGGCATGAGAGGGGGAAGGCATGAGAGGTGGAAGGCATGAGAGGGGGAAGGCATGAGAGGGGGAAGGCATGAGAGGGGGAAGGCATGAGAGGGGGAAGGCATGAGAGGGGGAAGGCATGAGAGGGGGAAGGCATGAGAGGGGGAAGGCATGAGAGGGGGAAGGCATGAGAGGGGGAAGGCATGAGAGGATCAAGAATGTAGATCCACACAATCTTCACAAGTGTCAGCGCCAACGAAATTTCGGCAGAGTTTCCCCTTAGCGGAAGTCACATCCAACCTCCAGAACTCCACTTAGGCACGCCCACAGGCCATGGTGGGTCTAGGAGGGTCTTCACACTTCAGTAGACTCCCCACAAGGTCCTTAATCACCTCTGATACCACTTGTTAGAGACTAAGGACGGAGTCTATGAAGATTAGGTGCCTAAATTTCTCAAAATCGTTGGTCCCTATTTCTGGATAGAATAGTTGCGCTCACAAGAAACGCCGTCGACGAAAAGTGCATAGTCTAAACTTCACTAAACTCATATATGTTGTAGCCCTACTCCGTGGCTACAATTCCCAAGTTGAAACGTATCAAGAGGTGAAGTAAATCTCGACTTATCAATTTCGGCGCACAGGGGGGTATGCTGCCATAAGAACTTAACTCAATCACAAAGTTCACACAAGTTCACACAAGAGAATTAGAGTAGCACTAAACCAGGTGGAAGGGATAAGGAGGACGAGAGGGAAGGTCCCAAGAGAGTCCCCAACCAAGAAAACCCCATGCCATACAATTCCCTTCCCCATAGGCAACCCAACTTTGACCTTTGTCACTATCCCAACCTCCACAATCCACCTCAACCCAACTTGGCCACACTTGCCAACCTGGTTTGGTTTCTCCCAACCATTTGGCAGCAACTACAGTAGAAAAGACGAATTTCCCAACCCCCAAAAGTCTGTACCCCATATTGAGTCAACCCCACAACTTCCCATAGTCACCACAACCAAATATCAAAAGCATACGAACTCCAACGTTCGTAACTTTCTAGTTCGTGCTCCGATTGAAGCGATACTTGGTTCCTCGGAAAGCTCTTGAGCAGAGGAGTCACTTCAGATATCTGCTCAAGCCAAATAACATTCACACACACACTCAGAAAAACCAAACCGCACAAAACACAAATTCTTGCACACACTCACAACACGCATGCAACGCACGAACATATGATGGGAGGCAGACAGACGTGAATGCGAATGGTAGCATCACTCAACAAACTCCCCCTCTGGCTGCCAACCATCATCCCACATGCCATAGCTCAAGCATGCATCCTCAATGCACACTCATCCCAGCAAGCTTCATGCCCTTCCAATGCTCAGATTCAGCCAGGCGCTTGGTGAGAATGTCAGCCGCCTGCTGATGGGTCTTCACAATCTCCAGCCGCACCTCCTTGTCCAGGAGCCTCCTCACCCAGTGCCACTTAGGCCTGATGTGTTTGGTCAGCCCATGAAGACAAGCATTCTTCGCTAGCTTCACCGCCGACTCATTGTCACAGAAAATCACAGTCGGCTCCCTCTGACCAACTCCAATCTCCTCCAACAAACGCCTCAGCCACACCACCTCCTTTGCCCCATGATGCAGGGCCATGTACTCTGTCTCACACGAGGACTGCCCCACCTCATTCTGCTTCTTACTGCGCCAGCTCACTGCACCACCTCCGAACAGGCACACATAGCCTCCAATGCTGGTGCCATCCGCTTTCACCGAGTTGAAGCTAGCGTCAGTGTAGCAGGTCAGGAGCATCTCCCCCTTGCTCAAATCATCTGCACTCCTCTGCAGCCTCTGCCTCACAGCACTGTACTCCAAACCCACTGATGCCGTTGCACTCACATAGCGGACCAACCTCTTGGCCGCTTCCAGCTGCTCATGACTGGGGCGTGAAACCACACTGGCAAGCCTGGATGTTGCAAAGGCAATGTCAGGCCGTGTGTGGTTAGCCGCATAGTTGAGTGCCCCAACCATGGAATGAAAAAGTTTCCTGTCACTCTCACCCACCACCTCCTCATCAGCACAGGGCTCTACAGTGAACCCCGAAGGCAGTGGGGTGGCTGGCTTTCCTCCATCTTGCAGCCCATACTTCTCAGCCAGCCCCTCACAATACTTTCTCTGGTGCAACCTCAACACTCCCTTGTCAAGGTCCCTCTCCACATGCATCCCTAAATAGTACTTCACATCTCCCATCTTGGAGCACTTAAACTGCATCTCCAGCATCTCCTCCACATGCTCAATCATTGCAGACGACTCAGAGAAGAGCAGGATGTCATCCACATACACCAGGAGCATGAGAAACTGCTCCTTCTCCTGCAGCAGGAACAAGCTGTGATCACACTCACTCTTCTTGAAACCCCCAGCCAGCAGAGTCTCCTCTAACTTGTGGTACCATGCACGAGGAGCCTGCTTCAGGCCATAGATGGCCTTCTTCAGCCTGCACACCCTGCCGCTCCCATCATCCAAACCCTCAGGCTGTAACATGTACAGCTCCTCCAGAATGATCCCATTGAGGAAGGCGGTGGTGATGTCCATCTGCTTCACCCGCCATCCACGGTATGCTGCCATTGCCAATGACACCCGAAGTGTTGTGCCTTTCCCCACAGGAGCATAGAGCTCGTTGAAGTCCTTTCCCTTTGTCTGTTGAAACCCCTTAGCCACAAGCCTTGACTTGTAGCGGGTCAGCGCCCCATCAGGTCCGTACTTGTGCCTGAAAATCAGCTTGGAAGAAATGGCCTTCTTCCCAGGTGGCAGCTCACACAGCTCCCACGTCTCATTCTCTAGCAGAGAATCATACTCCTCCTTCACACTCTGCTTCCACTTTTCAGCATCGGGCCCGCTCAATGCCTCAGCTAGCGTCTTGGGCTCAGGGACGGCTGCCCAGTAGCAGTGTGCTATCTCATCCTCATCACACTGCTCAGCCACACTCCCAGCCCTTACCACCTTTGGCTTGCCACGGCTTGCATAGGTCAGCCTGTTAGGAGGGCGCACATCCCTCCTAGGACGGTCAGCCGTACGTCCGGCACCTTGTGGAGCACCTTGCTCCTCCTGCTGCTGCGGCTGCTGCTGCTGTTGCTGCTGCTGCTGCTCCTCCACCTCAGGTTCTCCCCCATCCTCTGTCACCCCAGAGATCTCATTCTCAGAGACAGAAACCTCCACTTGCCTTGAAGGCCGCTGCACCTCATCGGCCTCGACAATTAGCGGTGTCGTTGGAAGCTTCTGCTGCTGCTGCTGCTTCCACTCCTTGTAGTACAAGGACTCAAGGAACTTCACATCCCTTGACACAGTCAGCTGCTGGCTGGTCAAGTCCCAAATCAGCCAGCCCTTGTGATCCTTAGCAAGCCCCAAGTGCACACCCCATCTCCCAGAAGCTTCCAGTTTTCCCCTCTTCTCCTTAGGCACATGAAACACCACCATGCACCCAAAGGCTCTCAGCATGTTCACAGCTGGTGCAATCCCATACCACTTGGTGTAGGGGACCCACTGCTTGTCCCCCACAGTCGCCAGCACCCTGTTCTTCACAACAACGACCTGCCGCAGTGCTGTCACCCAAAACGGATCCGGCAGCCCTGCACGCCCAAGGAGAGTGCGAGCACCTTCCTGCAGGGTCCGGTTGAACCGCTCAGCCACGCCATTCTGCTGAGGGTTGTAAGGCACTGTGAGCTGATGCTGGGTCCCCTTCCGCTTCAGCTCCTTCTCAAAATCAGCGCCGATGAACTCTCCTCCGTTGTCAGTGCGGATCACCTTCACCTTGTGTCCGCTTTCCCTTTGTGCTCTCGGCATCCACTCCTTAAGAACAGCCGCTGCCACCTCCCCCTTAGTCTTGAGAGGGTACACCCACACCGCACGCGTGTGGTCGTCCACAATCGTCAAGAAGTAGCGGCTGCCCGAGAGAGAAAGGGCCCTCGTGGGGCCCACCACATCCATGTGCACTAGTTCAAGTGGTGCCTTGGCTGGTCCTGTGCTGCTGCTGAAGGGAAACTTCGTGAATTTGGTCTCAAGGCAGGTAGGGCAGCTCCCAATCTCCTTTGCTCCCCCCTTCACCTCCAGCCCCTTCAAGCACCCATCCTTTACCAACTTCTGCAGCATAGGAATGTTCACATGGCACAGCCTCTCATGCCACGTCTCCCAATCAGCCTCACCACTCCCAGATGAAGCCTTTGCCCATGCAGCTGTCGCATCCACACCAGCAAGCACCTCACCATGTGGCTGTTGTGGCTGCTGCACCTTCTTGACTGCATCCAGGGCCCCAGCAGTTGGTGCAGTCTCCTCTCCTCCCGCAGTTGCTTTAGCCGCTGCCGCTGCCTTTGCCGTTGCTGGTGGTTTCCCCTTCCAAGGGATGATGGGCAGCTGCCACAAGTCCTTGATGCAGCTGCTCTTCTCCTCCAAGTTCCACAGCAGCAACTTCCCAAGCTTTGCACGGCAGCTGGTTGGGCCGAAGGTAACTTCAGCCTTGCTCTTCTGCAGCCGGCGCACAGAAAGAAGGTTAGCGGACAAACCTTCAACCAACAGCACATTCCCAAGCCCCACAAGCTCTCCATTGGCTCCCATCACCTTGGCATTCCCAACACCAATCACAGGGAGCAAAGCACCTGAAGCGGCAGCCACAAACTTGATCTTCCCAGGAGGTTTTACCTCATCAAGCAAATCTGCCCGTGGGGTCATATGACTCGTGCAACCTGAATCGATCACCCAGTGAGTGAGGGGGTGCATCACAACCTTCCCAACTGAACCCACATCACCCCCACTCCCTTGCACATCCTCAACCATGAGGAACATCCCAGGGTGGGCTTTACCTTGTGCACCATCACCTTGTGCACCTGAACCTTGCACAGCGCCACCGCGTGCACGTTCACCACTTGGCGGCTTCATGCCTGGAGGGGCCCATCCCTCAGGCCGGCTGAAACACTTGAACCACGGGTGTCCAGCCTTCTTGCAGTACCAGCACGCACCCTCCATTCGGGTGCTCCCCCTGCCACCAGAGCTCCCATGCCCCTCATTGTAGTCACCTCGGCCTCTCCCTCTGCCAAAGCCTCTCCCACGGCCTCGGCCTCTCCCTCCCCCTCTTCCTCTGCTGCCTCCTGCAGCTCCATACCCCTCAGCAGTTTTGTTGGCAGCACCACCTCCCGTGTGGCGTCTGCGGAAGTCCTCCTGCAGAAT